AGAGAGAGAGAGAGAGAGAGAGAGAGAGAGCACAGGGATCAGCTTCTGGGGTGACACTCACTCTGGGCGACGGGATTCCTATGGAGTGTAAACCCGTTTGGCTTAATATAGATATTACGCGAGCAGTCGTTTGAATCCCACGCGTAATAATAGGCCCGCAGTTTGGCTTTATATGTGGACAGCGATGACAACACATCCGACTTCAGTATCTGTTTGGAGAGCCGATTGAGACAATGGACGCGCCAGACGTCGCAGCGGTCGTCCCTCAAGATCTGCGACCACTTGCGACACACGCGGGCGCAGGCGGACAGGTCTTGGAGGTGGACGTGAGACAGTATCACCTCCACAACGTTGGCCGGCAAACAGTCCCACCGGTAGTGATGGCCCACCGATGACGAGGAGGAGGACGAGGCGGTGGCGCCCGAAGTGGTGGCCAACAACACAGCGCTTCCGCCGGCGGTTGTTGTCGTCATTACCGATGATGAAGACATCGCGCGAGTGTCTGTCTGTCTGTCTTAAGACCAGACCATTGCCGACGACTTCGATGACGGTTGCGGTGGTCACTGCCCACCGGTGGACACCACGTGTTGGCCAATCATTGGGTGATTTTTTCCGGTGATAATTAGCGGCCGAAGAGTTGTGTTGTGTTTTTGTTTTGGTTTTCAAAATATTTTGACTGACTTTTTATTGTGAGACTCAAAGTCAGTGATTGTGTATAAATAACGTTCACTTTTATTACATGTATTTTTGTCCCCTATTTAGGCGTTCATATAGTGTACAAAATTAGTTAACCCGTGTATATATTGATTATAGCGAGTGGTAAATAATGTCGCTATAATTTACCATGATTGATGTTCAACTGACTATAAAACCAATCATGGTATTTAAATATACTGAATTTATTAACAAAGTTGCACAAGAATTTTAAGCAACGTTTTATACGGTAAGACCCGTTTGGTTAAGCCTTTGAATCCCATATAAATTCTCGCAGCGATTGCAACAGAAATCACATGTTTTTGTCGCTAAGAAAACAATGATTTGATAAATAAATTGTTTACGAAATTAATGGCTAGTATTGCGTGAGAAATGTGCTTATAATACAAGTGACACAATACGGGAGAAAAACCATTTACCGATAACAGCGGCTGTTTGGCCAACAATTACCGCAAACTAATAGTGTTTTGCCATCAAATAGTGAGTGCAATCGCTCAGCTGATCCAATCGGTGGACACATCTTGAGGTCCACAGCCATAACCAAGTGATACCATCACCAACACAATTATCATCACACCATCGCAGTCATGGTAATCAAGTTTTTGGCCACTTTCGGGGCCGGCATTTACGCCGGTATATACCTCTCGCAGAACTATGACGTGCCGAAGGTCTGGGAACCCGCGGAACTGCTGGACAGAGTCAAGGGTTTCATCGGCGATATGAACGACAAGTACAAGAAAGACAACCCCAACGACACCACCCGTCGGGACAAGTGATCGGCAGTTGTGTGTGTCATCTGCCGTACCCCTAGTCTCAAGACATTACAGACAATTGTTAGACAATACCTATTATTAACTTATTATTAGTGTTGTAATCCATCGGCCGATCCAGCGATGGGTCGGACGTATAGAAAGCGCAAAAAGCGTATTAAAAACTCTTCGCCCACCACTTCCTCCTCATCTAATCCAACCATAGATTACCGTAAAATCCAATCGTTATTTCAATGGCTGCGCCGGTCGACCGACAACTCGGGCCAAACTCAACGCTCGTTAACTGCGGCCAAACTGCGACCCGCGGTGTTTGCGGCCACCGGTCGCGGCCTTCAGTGCCGCTCAGATGGTGTCGCTGTCGGCGACCTATTGGTGTCCATACCTATCGATCTGTTGGTCACCACAAAGACTGTGTTGACCGTCAGTGACGTACCGTTAGATGCAAAACACAGCTCAGAACTCACAGACATTGAATTGTTGACCGCATTTGTGTATTGGGAGCGCCGTAAGGGCGCGGCCAGCGATTGGCACGAGTACTTCCAGTCACTGCCCGACGGGTTCGACGAATTGCCGTACGTGTGGACCGATTTGGTCGCTATATGCCGGTCAACGCCCGCCTCATTGGCCGCGAAACTGCTGTCCGCTCGCGAGGTATACCGCAAGTCAATGGCCAGTGTTTTTCGCGCCCTAAATGTGTGTCACAATACCGTCGATGACAACCACGAAGACAATAATAAACAGCTCTTCCGGTGGTCGTACGGCGCGGTCAATACCCGGTGCGTCCATTTGGACACTGTCGAGTGTCCCAATACGTGCGCTTTGGCCCCCTTTCTGGACCTATTGAACCACTCGTCTGCGGCCAAAGTGCGGGTGCAATACAGCGCCGATACCCAGCGCTACGAGATATACTCACTCTCCGCGTACAACCGCTACGATCAGGTGTTTATCAATTATGGTAATCACTGTAATCGGGATTTGTTTCTCAACTATGGCTTCGTCGACAATATGGCCAACAATTTGATACCAATTAGTTTTAAGAGTGTCTTTAGTGAGTTGGCAACTGATCCGCGAGTGACCCGACGCCTCAATGTGTTGCTTAAGATCGGGTTTGTGGACAAAGCGACAACTTTTTGGATTCAATACGAGTCGATTGATTGGCGTTTGGACACCGCTTTGCGTCTCCTATCGTCTAATCGGTGGCCAACAGAGCGCTGGGCTCTCAAACAGTGGATATACTCCGGAAGTGTTGAACTCGACGGCAGCGCCGAAGAACTGTACGCTTACGGCGATTACAAGCGCCGACTGTTGACCAGTTTGTCGACCGAATACGATATGAAAGCCGTCGATCGGTTTGAGTGCCAGTGTTTGAGACAATTGCTTACAGACGAGTTTGAGATACTTTCGCACCATTTATGTGATTAAAACAAATACATTATAATTAATTGTATTTATAGACAGATTTAGTATTAATTAAACAATAAATTTTAGTTTTGCTTTTATTTGTGAATTTGTTGAATGAATTTAATAATAATTTTATTTAATTTACACGAATAGCAGTACTTTTACGGCAGAAAAATGGTATAAAATGATAGTTTTTACAGTTATATTAAGTAACCGTATAATTATTGATACAGTCTATTGTCGGTATGATTTACCACACAATATGTGTCGAAAATAACATTATAATACACTAAAAATTCATCTATAGGTACAGTATATACAATGATTAGCGCCGAAAAGCGATGCTATTTGGGAGATAATTGTGCGAAAAAATAAACATTTCAATCAATCAATAATTTGGGGTCAAAATGGGGCCTAAAATGTGCTACAAATGCCATCAATTTCTACGATAACTTGATTTCTACCATCACGTGGTGGTCGTCGTCCATAATGACGTCCTCATCGGTGAGCTCTTTCTTATGGACTCTATCCATATGAAAGCGCATCGCCTGTCGATTCTTGTAGCGGCGCTCACAGCCCGGCCACTCGCACCCGTACGGCCGTTCGCCCGTATGCTTGCGTTCGTGTGCTTTCAAATGGTGGGCTTCAGTGAAACTGTTGGCCAGAAATAAACAGTTAATATCTCAATAAAACAATTAAATGTCTTGTCTATAGGTTTGGCCGCCATTTATGGCCACCAGACACACCCGACGGGACACATACCTGGACTCGCATCCGTCCCATTCGCACCGGAATGGCTTCTCTCCGGTGTGTTTGCGTTTATGTAAATGCAATCGCTGTCTATAACACGTTTGATAACCTATTGAACAATGCAATAACAATACTATCGATTAGTTAATTGTCATAAATTACTACTGCATGTGATTGTGGAAAACACGGACCACATCCGGGCCACTGGCACTGGTATGGCATGACTCCGGTATGCACTTCAAACGTATGTTTGTCCAATTGCTCGACGCGCGCGAACGCCTGTCCGCAGTCGACAAACTCGCAGACAAACGACTTGACCCGCAAATGAAGGTTTTTGTGTAGTTTTAGTGAACCCTTCGTGTGATTGAAAAAAATCAAATTAAAAACTGTGCCGTAAATATATATATACCTTTTTCTCTGACATAGAATTGCATGCAATACTAAGTCAATATCAGTAAAATAGCGTTTTTCAAAATGGTATGCAATGCTATCTAGATAGTATTGCACCCCTTCACTAAAATTGACATAATATTNTCAAAATGGTATGCAATGCTATCTAGATAGTATTGCACCCCTTCACTAAAATTGACATAATATTGCATGCAATAGTATCGGATATTCAGTAAAGGGATTTTATCGTAACATTTAAATTAAACAAATATAATATGCTTTTGAGAATATTTCCCTGTTATAAAAGTCAAATTCGGATTCAATTTAAAATAATTAATCAATTTTCCAATGAGATGTAAAATTACAATTTAACAATTTAAAACTTAAATGAATCAGCATTTCAATTCCTAAGATAATTATCCATAAAAGACAATTATATTTTAAACATCTTTAAATAATAATTAGATTTTGATTTGATAATCATTTTAAAATTAATAAGTTTTATAAATATACTATGATAAATTAAGGAACAAGTATAATTTAAGAAATTTATACAAACGAAAATAAATACAATCTACAGTAATCCCGCGCCTACGCGATACAGTTGGTTTTCCAGTTGGTTTTCCAGCAATACATTGTTTATTAGGGACTGCATTGACGTACACTATAACCTCAGCACACAAACCCTTTTTAGTTAAGACTTGACAAATGTTAGTGTTTTTACATGTATTAAGCAAACAATTGTTTATTTCATCATTCAAATTATATTATTGATATATAAATAATAGCTCTCAATGAGCTCCATTCATACTAGAAATGTCTTTTAATGAAATTAAGACTAGTATTGGATAATATTTGTTGATTAATTAATTTCATTCATTACGATTGTTTACTAAAAAACACAAAACTAACTTGTTGTTACGGTTTTTAACTGCTTTTGCGGATTATTAAAAACAGTATTTGAGTGTTGAGGTTATAGTGTATGTCAATGTAGTCCCCACTCAGCCGTGTATTGCAAGAAAGAAAACTGTATTACGTTAAAGGGAGATTACTGTATATAATTTACCATATATAGTAAAAATCATTGTATTTAAGTGTAGACAATTTGCTAATTTGAAATACTGATAAATTAATTTCGTTTGTTAATCAATTTAATAATTTCATTTTTAATTATTTTGATT